ATCTCAATAGATACAGACAAAGCTTTTTGTTTGAGTGTTGTTGCAAATAGCCGTTGACCATTTGTATGTCTTCTTTGGAGAAATGTCTATTCAGTTCCTTTGCCCATTTTTCAGAGAGGTTATTTGTTCTTTTGCTATCCAGTTGTTTGAGTTCCTTATATATTTAGGGTATTATCCCCCTGTCAGGTTTGAAAATATTTTCTCCTAGTCCATAGGTTGTCTCTTCACTTTGTTGATTGTTTCCTTTCTGGCCCAGAAGCTTTGTAGTTTGAGCCATCCGATTTGTCTATTTTTGCCTTAGTTGCTTGTGTGTTTTCTGGGTCATATCCAAAAAATCCTTGCCCAGACCAATGTTGAAGCTTTTGTCCTGTCCATTTTGAGTTGACTTTTGTATATGGCGTGAGATAAGGGTCAAATTTCTTGCTTCTGCATACAGACATCCAGTTTTCCCAGCACCCTTTGCTCAACGGACTGCTCTTTCACCACTGTGTGGCACCTTTGAAAATCAATTGAACATAAATGTTTGGGTTTATTTCTTTGCTTTGTGTCCTGTTCTATTCATCATTGTTTTTGTGCCACTTCTATGCTGTCTTCATTTGCTATGACTTTTTAGGAGATTTTGAGAGCAGGTTTTTTTGATGCCTCTGGCTTTGTTCTTTTCGCTTAAGGTTATTTTGGCTATTTGGGGTCTTTTGCAGTTTCATTCAAATTTTAGGATTTTTTTCTATTTCAGTGAAAAATGTCATTGGAATATTGATAAGGATTGCATTGAGTTTGTAAATAGCTTTGCAAGTATAGACATTTCAACAATATTAATTCTTCCAATCCATGAACACAGGACATCTTTCCATTTATTTCTGCATTCTTTAATTTCATTCGTCAACATTTTATAGTTGTCAGCATGGAGATCTTTAACCACCTTGGTTAAATTTGCTTTCACGTATTTGTTTGTGGCTATTTTAAATGGAATTTTTGTCTTGATTGATTTTGGGATGATTGGTTGTTGCTGTGTAGAAACGCTATTGATTTTTCTACATTAATTTTGTATCCTGCAACTTTACCAAATTTGTTTGTCAGTTCTAATAGTTTTTTGGTTGAGTCTTTGGGGTTTCTATATATAGAAGCATGTTGCCAGCAAGCAGAGACAATATCACATCTGCTTCTCCAATTTGCATGCTTGTTTCTTGCCTAATTGCTCTGCCTAGGACTATGTTGAATAGGATTGGCAAGAGTATGTATCTTTGAACAAGGATCCATCCACCCTCTTCCTTTAGAGAAGACGGGTTCTAATCACTCTGTGGCTGGACCCTGAGTGCTCACATATGTGTGCGCCTGGGCATGTGGGTGCCCACGGGAGGGCTGTTGATGCTCAAGGTCCCATGGCAGTGACAATAGATGGATACTTAAATGAAGGTTAGCTGTCCCCTGAAAATCACAGTGCAACCCGCTCACTGTCCTTAAAGCTTGAAGGCAGGACCATAGGATGAGGGGAACAGTTCTAAGAAAGGAAACAAGGGCACCCAGGAGGCAGAAATGAGTCAAGGGCTGTATCCAGGAAGATGGGGGTGGACGCTGCGGCTGAAAAGAACTGGGAAGTCCATGAAGGGAACTGTTTGGTAGAATGAAAACCCACAGTCCACGGCCAGGAGAGGAGTCGTTTTTCTTCCCCTATTGCCCCGTATGTCCCCTTTGTGCTCACGGCCACAAGGCAGCTCAGCGTAAACTGCACCGTCAGATGCTCGTGTGTCTCTGCTGGTCCGAGTCTGCTGTCGGCATGAACCTGCAGCTTCCCCAAGGCATCCCCAGGGCGGTGAGACGACTGCCGTGATGAGGACCCGCAGCGCTGGGCTGAAGGACGGGCTGAAGGAGGGAAGGAGGCCCCATGGGGAGGCTCCGAGAGGGAGGAGGGGCCCTCATCACCCTCACCTGGGAGGGACCAAAGTACAAGGCACTGGATCTATTTGCTCCTAAGTCCTAAACTTGTGTGAGATGAGGACAGATGAGGTAGACAGTGGCTGGGGGTCAGCAGAGACCCCACTGCTACCTAAAATGTCTCCACAGATCCAAGAGCCTACCTCAGCCCCAGCCCTGAGGAAATGAGAGTCAGGCTCCTGGGGAAGGGGGCAGTTCCCCTTCCTCTGGGGCTGCTGATGGGACAACCCCATGACAGGAAGGACCCAGCCTCTGAGTAGCCGCACCCTGACTGTCTGTCTGTCCTACAGGCACGGTGGTCTCATCCATCTGCCAGCCGGACCAGTGGGAGGAGACGCCATGACCCCCACCCTCACTGCCCTGCTCTGGCTCTGCCTCTGGGAGGGACCCCACCCCACAGCCATGCCCTGCTCTACCAGGAGACCCCAGGAGCTCAGGAGACTCCAGGAGAGGACAGGACATGCTCAGCCTTCGAGCGGTGAATCTCTCACAGAGAAATCTCTTCCAGGACTGAATCTGGACCCCAGGACCCATGTGCAGACAGGTGAGTCTGTCCTCAGCTATCCCAGGTCCCTCCTCTCTGGGGACAAGGGACATCCTTGGGCAGATGGGGATGGGGAACAGCAGCTCTGGGCTGACTGGTGGGGACGTCTGGAAGGTCCTGTGCTGAGAGCCGGGATCTGAGGGGTGGGGATGTCTTGGGATCCAGCCTCTGATTTCCTTCCAGGGACCCTCCCCAAACCCACCCTCTGGGCTGAGCCAGACTCTGTGATAACCCATTGGAGGCCAGTGACCGTCTGGTGTCAGGGGACCTTGGACGCCCAGGAGTGCCATCTGTATAAAGAGGGAATCTCAGCACACTGGGTCAGATGGGAACCACTGGAGCCTGGGAGCAAGGCTAAATTTTTCATCCCACACATGACAGAACACAATGTAGGGCGATATTACTGTTGCTGTTACAGCCCTGCTGGATGGTCAGAGCCCAGTGACCCCCTGGAGCTGGTGGTGACAGGTGAGAGGACACTGGGGGTCCCAGCCCCAGGCTCTGCCCTCAGGAAGGGGATCTGCTCTCAGGGGTGTCTCCCTCTCACAGCCCAGCCCTGGGAGATAATGTGGGAAGTGAGTCCCATTTGACATGGCTGCCTCCTTCTCTCCTAGGATTCTATGGTAAACCCACCCTCTCAGCCCTGCCGAGCCCTGTCGTGACCTCAGGAGGGAAGGTGACCCTCCAGTGTGGCTCACGGCTGAGATTCGACGTGTTCATTCTGACTCAGGACGGGGAGCACAAGCTCTCCTGGCATCTTGAGTCACATGAACACCCCCGCGGGCAGTTCAAGGCCCTGTTCCCTGTGGGCCCCGTGACCCCCAGCCACAGCTGGACGTTCAGGTGCTACGGCTATCAGAGGAACGCCCCCCAGGTGTGGTCAGAATCCAGCGACCCCCTGGAGCTCCTGAACTCAGGTGAGAAAGGCCCGTCCCTGCCCGATGGCTCAGGGCCTGAGACAGGTCCCCAGCTCAGCCCCGGTGGGACG